TGAAAGACATCAGGAGAGTATGCCAACGAGTGAGGGATTATGACATGATGTTGAGCTCACCGTTGTATCTTAACCACAGGTTTTGTAACCAAGTTCAGTGGTTGGAAACGTATAATCCTCAGTTTAACTAGACTGAGACCCAATTCTCATGTGGGTGTTCTGAATATGTCACAGACTTGTTGGAAAGAAACTGAATGATATCACCAGTTTAACTGTGTCTGGATGACGTTAACCTCTCTGAAATGATGCCGTGGGTACTTTTGACACTCATTATAGCAGTGTGATGATGCTTACAAAAAGTATCTGGAATTCGACCTTAAGATGGACGGATCCAGATGAGATATGGACATGATGGTATTGAGGAGGAGGCGGTGGCTTGGCGCCACCTGGTGACAAGTTGACAAAACGATGAAGTTAATCAGTAAACTTTATTAAAAACAAAATTTACAAATAATACTCTGGACACCATATAGTATACAAAACGTGTAATCTGCCCTGTGCTCGTACACGATGTTACTCTTTGTGTTAAGAATGGGATAGAATCACTGAGATACATGATGCCTGCCATTTTAAATTGATTGGAAATATCCAAGGTTTTCACTTTACTCTTTCGCTTAATTGTAAAATATATCAGTCGAGGTCTTTGTGACCATGTCAGCAAAAGGACTCGCATATCGATCTATCATTGCAGTATGTCACCTCTACGTAAGGAAAAATTCACCGACTGCATGAAAGTGGCTATTGCAAATTGTAACAATGTCTTTTGTACAGAAGATCTTTTGAACGTGAAAGTGATTTCAATACTGTGCAAGGACTCCTGCCAAAATTGCTAAGCTTGTTTTGATATGATCAAATGAATACATCCAGAGCAGCATGGCTCAACCACATCTGTATATATTCATTCTCCTCCACAGAGACCGAAATAAAGGATTAAAGGACGTTGTCAATAGAGAATTTAACGCCGATGTCAAATATATCAACCCTTACAGATATGAACAGGAAACTGGACATTAAATTCACCAAAGAATAAAATACATTGACGTTTCAATCAATGCTTGTTTGAATGTATACATCCAGGGCAGCATGGCTCAACTGCACCTGTATATATCCATCCTCCCAATAGGAGACCAATATACATTTCATGTGAAGGTTTGAGTAAATGATAACAAGGACGATTTGTGTTTGTCAAACAATAGGGCTGCTATGTGGTGACGGTGCATGAAACGATAGGTTGATGTCCCATTTTAAACCACCCATCTTACATCAGGTTACTAACAACGAAGGATACAAGTAACGTTACAACATTTCAAGGAGCAGGGTTTTCAACTGAAGACAGCATGCTTGGAACGTACATTGACAAGGTATTGATTGATAGCATCAACTATATGGTGCTTATTACGACTATTAAGTGATTGTCGTTGTGTTCTTCCGTGTGGCCATTGGGCGAGTCCATTCCTCGAGACTGGATATACATCTTGGGGAAATGCCTGTTGGAGAGATGGTTTACAAAATGCAGGATAAGTCGTAAATGTATTATCACTGAAAGATGTGATAGATGACGGGAGCGCCACCTCAAAGATTTTGAAATAATCCACAAGAACGGAGTCTGACCAGCCCCGATTACAGTAAGCTTATTGTTGTCACGTGACCCGCCAGCTGATCCCGCACGTGCAGCACACACTCACACTCAGTCACATGCATTCGACAGGTACGCGTGGAGACCGGAGCAGCTCGGTGAGTTTGTTGATATTATGTGCAGTTCCATTGACACTTTCACACAGAACTTTGATAACAATATCCATAAGGACATTAATAAAACCGTAACCTGCTTGCTTGACCTTTTCAGACACTGTTTTTCTCTAACTGATACCCAACACTCCCATACACGCAAGACCCACAGACCAAAGCACGAACAGACACAACCTCAATGGTTTGACAATGAATGCACGAGTATCTCGATGCAAAAGCAGAGACTTTAAAAAGCTATGCAACCACAAAAAAGCGGTATATGAGACAGATATTGAAAATGAAATTTTAGATGCAGCAAAGAGCAATATATGTAAAGACTTTTGGAAGGCCATTAAGAAACACAGCGAATCGAAACGCAGTTGTTGTAATATATCAGCTGATAACTGGTTTGAATATTTCAGTTCACTGCTCAACCCACATAACGACCATAAATCCCACTTTGATGATGATGTAAAACACTTTATCGATAACCATGATGTTACAAATTGCGTGAGTGCGGCGTACAACTCAACTCACTCACTACAAATTGCGACCAATGTAAAAGTATGTGACCATATGTTGTGTGATGAAATTACGGAGGAAGAAATTAGAAAATCAGTTCATAACTTCAAAAACGGTAAATCACCTTGGGCAGATGGTATTTATCCCGGGGAGGCTATCAAAGCTACGTGTCATGTATTGTCACCTTTCTATAAACGTCTTTTCAATGAAATTCTTAATACAGGAAACTGCCAGAAGCTTGGCATTTTAGGCCGTATTGTCCAATTGCACAAGACAGGAAATAGAGATGATCCTAATAATTATAGGGGAATGGCGCTTCTAGACATTATCAATAAAAGTTTTTATATCAATACTTGACACGCGTATAAAATTCTGGATATCAACCCAAGAACTACTCTCTAACTCCACTTACTCACTCACCTCAGAAACAATTACATGTACAATTGACCAGATATTCATACTTAACTCAATAATTCATAAAATGCATAAGAGAAAAGTGCAACATACACTACTGTATATTTGTAGACTTTAAAAAGCCTTCGACTAATGTTGATGATAGGAATAAATTAATGTATGTTCTTTTTGAATAATTGTTTACATGGCAAAATAACCTTTCTCTGCTTCGCAATATGTATTCGAATGTGAGAGCAGCTGTGAGATGCAGTAAGCAGACTATGACTGATGTATTTAAGTCGACAGCCGGAGTCCGACAGGGTTGTATACTGTCTCCCGTTTTATTTATTCTATATATATAGAGGAAGTCGTAAACGATATTGTGAATAGCGAATACAGTGGTGCATTCATTGATGAAACGGTAGATGCATTATCTATCTTATTATTTACGGACGACGTCGCCATATTTGGAGATAGTGTCATAAACTCTGCAGAAGAAAATATATGTTCTGAAATCATATTGCAAAAAATGGGGACAGTCGATTAATACCAAAAAGACTATAAATGGTGTATTTAAAATAGGTGGTGGAGTTTCGAAAAATGAAAAATGGTTTATTGGCTCTGAAAGACTGGAATCTGTTTCCCTATTACAAATATCTCGGAATAGTGTTTCATGCCGGAACCTGTTTTCAAGAGCTTGTGAGGTTGTGTAAACAAGCCAAGAAGGCGTTATATCCTATCAAAAATTTATATGTCGATTTAAATCTCTTTGATGATATCAGTTCTGCCATGTGCGCTCATTGCGTCAATATTGTCCAGGACGAGTACCATGTTCTATTACTATGTCCTGTTTTTCTTGATTTACGCATCAGGTATATACCACAATATTATTGTGTAAAAATCCCAACATACAGAAGTTTGTAAACTTACTTAATACCCAAAATGCAAATGTTATTTTACGCCTAGCCATATTTGTAAAACAAAATCCATAACGTTTTATGATTGCCTTATAAATGCCAGCGTACTTCTCATGCCAGAGCTCCAAAGAACATGATGTAAAAATGTCACTTGTACGTTTTGGCCTCATGGCCACTCTACGAAATAAATCTGTCTCGTGATAGATGCCGAGTGAGTTTATTTTCCATGAATAGTATGTGTTGATAATTAGGGACATTCGACAACTGGTGTCCAAGGTTTTAGGTATAATACAGTGGTATTTGTACAATAGTGGTCACAGGGTATATAGATACACCGCAGAGGACTAGCCTTCAGACACTCACCACAAACTGGAGTGAAGACAATTGTGGTAGAAAAGCACAGAGCACAGCTGAGTCAAGGATGAATACCTGTAAATGTACAAAGTGTAATCAGATGTTATTTATACACAAAAAGTAAGAATTGCTTAGAAATGATCAAAGGAGTATTCTGTTAAAGAATATGCATTTGGAGGTTCTTTCTTGCTAGTTCTGAACATGTGATGTCTGAAACTGAAGCCGTGGATGAGCCCTCATACTTACACTCACAGAAGTGTTTTTAAACTCACCTTATCGTCTTGTTCTGTTCCTGTACCCATCTTCGTAGTGGATTTCAACCTCATACCGAAGCACCGCATATGCTTAGGAATAAGAGTCTCCAACTCAGAGGATCCATGATAGTGAATAACATTTCATCTTTGTAGTGATTGTTCAGCTTTAAAAGGTAGTTTGATCTATTGTCAAAACACTAATGTCAAAGACAACGATCCAATCTTTCCGTTAAAAACACTTTCAAACAATACCATCATAAAAGACGTTCGCCAAATTACAAGTGACCCAGAAGATGCGTGTGAACATAACCAAATCATTGTTTAACTAGAAGGTGTTAGCGGGTGTTTCCAGGTGGGAATGTGAGCCATGAAACATGAAAGACCCCTCAACACCTTAAAGCCGCTAAGTCATCAGTTACTGTCACGGGACATCATCAAGGATTTGTAAGTGGATGATCGCGCTTACACACTAAACAGAGTGAGTTAAACAGAAGATACCATCAACATGGCAAGAGCAAATATTTGAATGATGTTGGGTGTGTTTACTTTCGTGATAGGATACCCCACCTGCTCAAAATTCACACTTAGTAAAATAGTTTATATCTAAACTTCTTTGAGTCACTTCCTCATGGATATATAGTGAGTTTCAGAGGGAATCTATTCCTGCACATGATGCTGTGTAGATGGCAGAGGTGTTCGAGATGATAGATTGTGAGGATACCTGAAGAAAAAAGAGTATCATGTTTTAATTTCAGAATAATGATGTTGAATTTATACAGAACCATAATGAATGATCAATGCACGAGTGTTGACCGTTTTCCAAACTTATCTTGATAGTAATTGTTTGAAGCATAAGGGGGGTGAATGTTGTTGAAGGCAGCAGTATCAATATGTAGGAAATATATAACCAAGACACAGCCACAGAGGATGGAAGAAAGAGAAACACAGAAATTATCACATTGCGACTGGTGCATGCTTACCTGACCAGAATATGATAAAGCTAAGCAGTCTATGGAAGATAATATACGATCATATAGAAAAAGTATGCAAAGCCAGATTAAAGGCAAAAGTTGCAAACAGAACCGAAGTGTTTACTTACGACCGCGTGAAGGGGTCATGGGAGGGGTGAAGACATTTATTTGGACATATAGATCATGATATTTTGTTCTTAAAACGAACTCGCGTGATGAGCTTTATGTACAATATCATTGATGTTATTTGTCAAGGGCAATTGAAGAGGGGGTGCTATTTAAGAATGTCGTCTGGAATATGTTGACGTCTGTAAAAGTTAAATGCAGCTGTCCGGCATTCATATACCTCACCTTAGACAAGACTGGAGACAGGCGTCGTAGACTTGTAGTGTATAGCTGTAGCAAGGATACCGCTACAAAGCAGAAAGTGATCAAATGTCACTTCATATTCACAAAGAACACACATTTAGAAAGAAATGATGAAAAGGTTGTTCGAAGGAAACGAAAGCTCAAAGTTCTCGATATCTTACTTAAAGTTCCTTGAAACAGTGGATAAGTGTCACAATTTGTAAAATCTAATCAGGCAGTATGAAACTCACCTTGTCAGCTCTGTCCACATAGCCATCATATTGGTAGACCAATGATGCCTACACACACTTTGCACCGCACATGATTAGGAAGCACTACATCTGACAGTACCAAGGATACTGAATGGTCGTTTTGAGGCAACGTTTTAACTGAAGATAACTCAAAACGTTTTCAGACATACAATAGACATTCGGCAAATACTAGTGACTCAGAAGATGCGTGTGGACACAATCGAGTCATCGTTCAGCCAGAAGGTGTTGGCGGGTGTTTCAGGTGGGAATGTAGGAGCCATGAAAGATGAAAAGACCCCTCAACACCTCTGGGCTGCCTGAGTCTTCAGTTGGTAGTCACGGGGCTACAGTGATGTAGGTGTTACATGTTAACGATTACGTTGAAACCAACGGGGACGAGTTTGGGGCAGACAAATCAAGAAAGATAATCGGGAGAATTCGAACCCATGATCATAGGTTTCTGATGTGACCAAAGGACGCATGTCTGTACTGGAATAAGATGCTTTCGAGTGCTGGGCTACTTGTTTTTCAAACAATAAAGAAGCAGTAGAATTTATTGTTTCAATATATTTGATTGACAGCGATTAGTATGACAAAAAAGACATCCCACGGCCTTTGACAGAACTATTTCGTAATATGACATTGTAATTACCAACAGATAATGAATTTAAAATCTCACCGAAGTCCTCTGTTCTTCATCAAAATCACGCAGCAGATCTCGGTAAGGCTGTTGCTGCTGTTGCTGCCTCTGCTGCCGCTGGCGCGCAAGTCTCTGGTGTTCTGCCCTCTGTTGCTGCTGCCGTTGTTGGTGCTGTTGCTGTTGCCTGGCAAGAGTCCGTTGCCGGTGCCTGTCGTCTCGTCGCTGGTTATGGAGAGCCTGGGTCTGAAATAATATCCAGTTGAAAGAATTCGTATCCTTAAATACTTTCAGATAGCAAAATGAATAGCTGATATATTAATGGGTGTTGGATTGGGGAGGTTACAGAGAAACAGAATTTTGAACATGATTTTGTCTGATTCTTAGTTTACTTTACTTGTGCAAAGCACATAACCTTGAGCGATCCAGCTTGGGACCTGACCAAACAATAATTATTTAAACTGGCGTGTACCTCAAGCACGAGATCTATTGTGAACAGAAACGTACAAGGTAATGTCATTTTAGTGAACTGTATTGTCGATAATTGACCAGAGAAAGACAGCCATGTGACTCAGAAATGATCCATATCGACGGGTTAAATGATACGCAATGAATCAATAAAATTGCCTCCTTTGACCAGTTCAACTCAACATCTTCACGGGATGGTTTTGGACATCATACTATTTTCTGCACAGGGGCGTTGAAAATGACGTTGGAATAAGGAATGTAGAATAACAGATCTAGACCCTATGATAAGGTTATTTTGTCAATATCATTTCAGACTTGTTAAGCTAAGTTTACTGTTACTTAAATGTTGGTTACTCACAGCTGAGACGGTGTGGGTTGCCAAAGTTGCCAATGTTACAGACGTCGACGGTCGAGGGGCGGAAGACGTGGACGGCCGAGGTGCGGAAGACGTCGAGGGCCGAGGTGCGGAAGACGTCGAGGGCCGAGGTGCGGAAGACGTCGAGGGCCGAGGTGCGGAAAACGTCGAGGGCCGAGGTGCGGAAGACGTCGACGGCCGAGATGCGGAAGACGTCGACGGCCGAGATGCGGAAGACGTCGACGGCCGAGATGCGGAAGACGTCGACGGTCCAGTTGCTGAAGTGGATGCTGCATGCACAGGGGAAATCCTGTAGGAATACAACATTGAGTATTAACTTTGAGTTAACATATGCATACAGTGGACTCATTCATTTTACATATCAAATCATGTGAAATCATGTGAAATCCTTATATAGCTGCTTAGTTACCAGTCATTAATCATGAGGGAATAACTCATCATACTCACAGTTGATACCGTCTGGGTGGCGACGGACACAGACATCACCGGTGTGGACATCGTTGCAGATGACGTGGATGGTGTACTTGCAGACAGTGGGAGAAACAAAAGAAATATATACTGTGAATAAAAAGTAAAGCGCCACCCAGTATATTGTGCTAATCTAGGTCATCTTATAGTAAATCTTTCAGAATAAAACAACTATCATAATTTGGTTTTAGTACTTTTGGTTTAAAACAAAAGCTTTATGGAAATTATATTTTACTTTACACAGGATGTAAGCGCTTTTGGAAAACATGCATTTTGTTTTCCTCAAAAGGGTTATCTTCTTTTGAAAAGTGAAAATCAGAAATGACTTATATGGTCACATGATTGTCATTTTGACAAGTGAAACCTAAGTTTAATAGTGTTGTATAAGCAGAATAGGAATAGTTATTTTGCTATAAAAGCAGTGCCATCACATCTTTAACAATATTTCCTTTAATTGTAAATACAAACGATTATGATATCCCTAAATCAGTTACCAGATGAACATTCTATAAATATGGATTGATCTTCCCAATTATTTTAGCCTAAAGTTTCCACAGCTTCACATCTTAGTTTTGAAATGTGCTGGCGCTTATCTTTGTATTCTCAGATAAATGGCAGAACCATAGTGACTACCACTTCATATAAATAATTTGGTGTATATTTCACTGATCATCTTTCATGGTTGGTACATGCAAAATATGTATCTGTTCAAGCACGAAAGGTTCCAATATATTGAGAAATTACAAATACTCGGGGATTTAAACGTTACATTCTTTTTCGAATATTTGATGTTAAAATCAAAGTGATTCTTCTGTATTTCGGGGAAAATTGTGGATTTAAATACTTTGATTCCATAGAATAGGTACATTTATTTGCATGCAAGACATTTCTCGCAGTAAGGATGAACACATCAAATGTAATAATGGTATAAAAAGACGAATAGGATTTCCTTCTTGTATGTGGAACATATAATGCTATACAAAGGAGTGAGTGAGTTATTATTTAACGTCACATCGGTAATATTACAGCCATATCGTGACGAGAACATATGTGACATTGAAATGGAATAGATGTATATTATAAAAACCTCTCGACGAAGGACAGTAAAACCTATACAAAGGAACATATCAAAGAATTCGATACAACATAAGTTAAGCACCACCGCAATTTTCAATATTAAAATAGTTAATACATCATATTGTTATAAGGACTAATTCACGACAGCCTACAACAACTACTGTGAGACTTTATTGTAATTATTTATATGATGCTAATCTGTATTCTATGTAATCCTTATCACTTCCGCATTGTACATTGACTTGTCAGGCAATTAATTATTTGTATGATACTTATAACCTTAATTGGTCATCCCCTTGGCCGTGTCTGCCATTACATCAAATGGTCAAGGAAGTGCTATTGTTTTTCTATGTGTCCGTTGTTGAGTCGTCGCCTGTCCATTGTTGTCAAGAACTGTATATATATATATATATATGTTCACGTATACATTGTCGAGGAGTCGGAGTCCGATATACCGCCTGCTGGTGTAAGGACGACCACGAGACGAGGATAATGCCGCTCGCAGGAAACTCCTGGGGTTGAGCAGGAACTCCTCTCACCACATTTATGTTGTGTGTATATGTCTGTCATGTAACTAAAGAAGTTTGAGCTCAACGTATTCTTTCGTCTTGTCAACGTATTGTACGTACACTTCCATCTTAAACATAATTCATCTTAAAGCTAATTCCCAGTCGACGCGTATCCACGCGTTGACAAATATGATCTATTATGAATATTGGGGTGGTCCGTAACGTTTATTTTTGTGTTGAGGATATTTTGTCCATCCATCAATTGATAAATTTTCTTCGCTATTTATTTGCTCAAATGAAATTGTAATTCAAATGTTGCGTTTTCTATTTATCAAGTCGCTGATGTTAAGAAAAGGGTATATGTGAAATGTACTATAGGTCTGTGGCCTACTCGGTACTATTCATTCTCAATATAGATTGATCGGGTCTACTCCATTAACATACACACAAAGGGCAATCATTCGTTTAGCACATAACATCTTCACTAATTCCTGAGTAGCCCCAAAAGGGTATATAGCTGCTTATTTAACACTCATTAATCATGAGAATTCATCATACTCAGTTGGCACCGCCTGGGTGGCGACGGAGACATACGTCACTGCCGCAGTAGTGGACCTTGCTGCAGTTGACGTTGATGCTGCTGGCCGATATTTGCAGACTGTGGGAGGAAGAAAAAAAAGATACATGACAGATATACGCTTGTACTCATGGACACTGCTTGTTGTTGTATATTGGTTGCCGTATTAGGACGCACATTTCAGGTGGTTCTACTTGGTGTGTCCACAAATTACAGATCAAAACGCCAATCGATATGAACCTCCCAGAACTACGTACAATTCATTCTGAATTCATATTTATAGTCAAAAGATTATTCCCAAGTAGAGATACACGATTACCTTATACAGGAGAGACGACGTATCACCAACGCCACATAAGACCCGAGTCTACATATAGGCGACATGCCATCACAAAACTAGTCCGTTTACGTTCATTTTATTGGCTTACGTATAATTTCAGTCGGTCAATTTTCTGTTTCCAATTCCAATTTGTCCATTTCTCTCTTTGATCTGGTCTAGAAGATTCTGCATCCGCTTTTGAACAAGCTGCAAAAGAAATATATATAATGAAAATCAATCTATTGTAATTATTCAGGTAGTTTTATAATCGTAATGTGCATGTCCAAGATTGCTGAATTGCTGTGCTTTGTGTATTTTTCTGAATGTGCACCCAGCAATACGTCAGCCATATGACAGCCGTCGGCAACTCAGTCCTGATTAAACACTACGACTGATGTCACGCCATCAGTCTGCACAGTTGTGGTACTATTAGTGATAGGAGTACATGTAGTCCGATGGTTCAAGCGATTTGCCACCGGGTTGGCAATTGGTCTTCAGCAACCAAAGCTTGTGAGAAGCGATTCAATGGGATCGTCAGACTCCGCTGACTTGGTTGAGACGTTATCGTATCCTAATAAGTAGATCGGGATGTTCATGATATTGATCATTGGATTGTCATGTTCGACCTGATTATTTACAGACCGCCGCCATATAGCTGGAATATTGCCGAGTGCGACGTTAAGCACAAAAAAATCAAGGATGCGCCTAATAAGCTGACCGATATTCGGTTCCAAACTTTCTATATTTGCCTGTCAGTGCTGCACCCCTCCACTCATTCACTCAGATTGTCGGTAAGTAACAACCATTTTAGACATATGCTACAGAGCAATAAGACGAAGCCGCCGTGTAAGAGACTCCAGTAGACCGCAGGCGTGTAAATAACCTATAGGCATGTGTAGAACTTGTGGTAGCAGTGGATTGAGTAATATTTAATGAAATTGGTGTTTACTCACATCAAATGACGTTGCGACCCCACGCGTTACTGTGGCTGAGGGTGCGGTCGACTGAGGTGCCTGGGTCGACTGAGGTGCCTGGATCGCCTGGGCTCCTTGGGTAGGCTGAGGCCCCTGGATCGCCTGGGACCCCTGAGTCGGCTGAGGTCCCAGAGCACTCTGAGTCTGCTGCATGAGACCTAAAGACCTTGAAAAAGGAAACATGGCTGTAAAGCGAATACTGAATGGCGAATACTGAATAGGGAATAATATCTGCAATGCGATAAACGACATGCGATACAAATCTGTTAAAGTATCTGTGTTTTATAGTGCGCCATAAGGGAGCAACCATTTCAAGGAAAGGGGAGCTTGATTGTGGTTTGAGATCAGCATTTTCTACATGTTCAGAACCTTCATTATTGTCTCCAACATAAAACCAAAATGGAAAGCTCGATGATTCGATGTCCATCGCCAGAAAGAAAAGGGGGCACTAATATTTCAGTTAAACAGAGACTTTACTTTTTAAGAAAGTACCACCTCCCCGACGCGAAAATTAATGGTTGCGTCCATAAAACCATGAAGCAGCACATGCTAATCAGCTGAAAGTACGTGCTGTCATTCGGTCTCGTGAAGTTTAAGCCTTGTGTCAAAATCACTGGTGTCTGAAACAATAGAGCACTGTGAGACGTCTCCGAGCTCCAGACCATCCGACTGTGTTATGCAACAACGTCCCGGGTGGACGTGGGTCGCACGCATTCCCACACAATGGAGATCAGCTTCGTGTTTGAAATCATAGAACACAAATTGTCTCACCAATAATATAAAATGTACTTGATCATGCATGAATCTTTTGAGGTGAGGTGAAATTGGGTTTATCGTCGTGCTTGAGAATATTTCGGCTCATATGACGACGGGCATGCGTGTGTATGTGGAGGCTGCTTGTACTAGACTGAAGCTGGTTTTATAGTGCTAGCCCACTGAGATACCATGCCGCAGTGAAGCATGAATACCCCACTCAGACACATTATACTGACTCCGAGTTGACCAGTCCTTGTTGTACCCATTAATGCCGAGCGCCAGGCAGGGACCAACAAGTACCATATTTTAACGTCTTTTGGTATGACGCGGTCGGGATCGAACCCGCAACCTTCCTTCTTCGGGCGGACGCTCTAACCACTACAGCACGGAGGCGGTCATGAATCTTTTTGAAGATCCTATGTTTCAAGGTCTACACACCGCTGTTACCAAACTGAGTCAGTGTCGTAAGATATCACAGCAAAAATAACCTGATGGAAAGTGGACTGAAACTTAAGTTTCCACCTAGAATCCAGTGAGTTTCCATTCTGTTACATTGAGTTTCCGCAATAACGGAAACTTACAATTACCCACTTTCTAAGGGTTTCCGCAAGGTTTCCGTTACCCACACTCCAACAAGTTTCCGTTGAGTTTCAGTTATTAAGACCCGAACAGGTTTCCGCAGAGTTTCAGTTACCAAGAATCCGACATAGTTTCCGCATAGTTTCAGTTACCGGTTTCAGTTTCAGGTTCACAGGTTTTCATGTGCGTTTCAAAGAGCCAAATTTAAACATTCTTCTTTATTCATATCATAAACTCTTCTTAAAAACAATATAAGCAATTGTTATTATCATGACGTTTACTTAAAAAACAACAGAATATATAATAAGATTCATTGTTTTATTTTCTCAACATGAATATGAATTAGCATTTAAGGCAAATAAAGATCATACATATAACTAGTAATACAGCACTAAAGAACAGGGCAAAACATTTTGGCATAACTCAATCCAGTTTAAGAAATCATATATCATTTATAACAAAGTAGTAATATTTCATCAGTTAAACTTTCATTCACGTATTATCTTGAAATAGCATTTTAGATATGAAATATATTTCTAAATTCATGCTAATGGTGAAAAATAACAATAACATACAACTTAACACAGTGATAAAACATAGCTGCATCGGACATTTATTTGCACGCCTTGGCATTCAGCCACACACTCTATGTCACAACTATCGCCAAACATCCACTATGATATACATCATACAATAACACAACATACAGCTTACAAAATAAAATAAAAATAAAATTACATTAAAATAAAATAAATACAATTCAATTGAAATTATAAAAGGTAAATTCTTGAGAATATTTCGCTCATATGACGATGCGTGTAGATGTGCGGCTGCTTGTTAGCCCAGACTGAAGCTGGATTTATAGTGCTAGCTCACTGAGATACCATGCCGGCGAAGCATGAATACCCCTCAGTTACATTATTGACTCCGAGCCGACCAGTTGTTGTACCCATTAATGCCGAGCGCCAGGCAGGACCAACGTACCATATTTTAACGGCCTTGGTTTGACGCGGTCAGATCGGACCCGCGTCCGTACGATTCTTTCCACGGAGGCGGTCCAGCATCCTGGGCGGAGATCCTCTGTACGTGTCATCCTCGTCCTCATGTTGGCCTTGACGAGCCAAGATTCTTCCAAGTCCAGTGTCGTCGTGTATGACTTGCTGGACAGACAAAGGGACGGAATGCAACTAATTGACGTCATCTTCGTCACTCACGACTGGTGATGTCATGTCTATGGTGAGTGTTGTCGCCACCTTTTCTTTCGTCTAGCTGGCCAATCGATAGATGCAAGTCTGTTGAGGCGTTGTGAAAGTTTCTGAAAATGGCAGGTAATAACGAATTACTAGGTTATTTTGATAAATTATACAAACATCAATCAACAAGAAACTGACAATGCCAAGGATGATTTAAAATGAGTAATCCAAAAGGAAGTTTGAATAAAAGAGAACTAAAGTGAACAATCACACTTTGCACTGGTTTTCTCAAAACTCAAATTATGCAAGTCATCACACTTCATTGACCGAATGAAATATCTTATTTTCTAAAGAGGACACACAATCTATACAAAATTTGCTCTGGAGTTACATGCTTCCAAGACCAGAGGTAGTAATACGTTATATATATATCTGAACGTTTATTGCATTTTCTATATGGTAATAATGGTACTGGTAATAGATTTTCATCAAATTGCTATATTCAATCTCTTACAGTTCGTATTGTTGAGCCAATTTATGGTGTCACCCGCCGTGATGTTGCTGGAATACTGCTAAAAGCGGCGTAAAACTAAACTCAGTCAGTCAGTCGTACTGTTGAAGGCACAAGTATATTCACCCAGTGTATATAGACGTGAATAATACAAGACATGAATGTTTACGGATGTCGACGTCTTTATTATGTGAAAAAAACACGTTTGGGAGTGAATGCTTACTCCTGACATGGTGACACAGACAGACACAGACACACAGAGACACAGACTCACAGACACACAGAGACACACATAGACACTGTCTACTGTCTACAGGAAACCCACCCATACCGACCAATACCTTCGCTTGGTACCTCCAACCACCACGCTACAGGTTAAAGAAGGCATCATATCCCACTCTCACCCGGGGAGCTAAGAACATCTGCTCGACAACGGAAGCCCTAGAAACCGAACTTAACCACATCCGCCATGTCTTCTTCCATTATAACCAGAGTACCCCCAGAAGCTAGTCAACAATATCATCACAACCACCCTCAACCCAAGAGATAAACCACCCCGCCGGCAATCAGCACCCTTTGTAACAAAGTATCCCGTATGTGTCCCAGCGGTCAGCCACCAAATAAGACGACTCCTTCAGCAGCAAGCAATTACATAGACGTCCTGTTCCAAAAGGCAAATCCATCAGAACCTCCTCCAGAAGCCACAGGCAAACCACCGTCAACAACAAAGATAACCCCTCAGGAGTAGTCTACCAGATTCGTTGTCCAATTGCGGAGACTTCTATATTGGTGAAACATCCCCTTGCTCCCACTGCAGAATCAAGGAACATAAAGCGTCAGTCAAGAAAAGCGACTCCAAATCCGCCATAGCTGACCTCACCCAAGCCAACCCTGACCATTCTATCCTATGGAACAACATCGATATCCTAGAAATCAACCGACAAGACTACAAAATTAGGAAACTCCTTGAAGCCATAAACATCCAACGCCATAACCCCACCATGAATCGAGGATCAAGGTTATTTCATCTCGTCAGCCTATCACCCACCTAATCAAAGACCACCACCAGTAATCCTTCCCTACCTCCTTTGTCCATCTGGCTTCCATGCTCCCTCCTTTGTGCTTGTAATCACAACTATTGTACGTCATCTCATCAATTGTATAAACTCAACTCTAATCACAATCAATCACTCTGTACATCAACCTCCTCTGCTGTAATCACTTATCTAATATCCAATGTACATCAACCTTGTTAAATGTATATATACTCACTATACAGCTATGTATATATTCTCCTTGCTTCCAGTTGTTGTATCACTTGTTTGATAACGGTGTTAGTACCTACACCGAAACGTCGCACTCATTGCATTAAAGAAGTTGACCATCCATAGAAATCAGTTTTCCTTGATCACAGATATAGATATGAAACTAGTATGAAAAACTCAAAACTTTCAACTATAGAAGACAATACAATATAAAAAACAGGATATATATTGCCAACAACTGAAGGTAGATCACCATACTAGGGACCATGGGGACTTACAGTACATTTGCTTCCTGCATGGACCCTAGCTGGATTTACACCATCCCTTCAGCCGTTAGCAATTCAGTCAACTCTAGCCATACATTAAAAATGACACATATACTACGACTAGAAAGGTGGTAAGAATAAATTTACCCTGAATGTATTGGGACTTACGAACCCTCTCAGGAGGACAATAATTGTACTGTACTTTAACCCCCTTTGAGGACACAGCCACTAACAATCTCAGTTGCTAATTTAAACTATACCAATCATAAAATACATCTATTTAAAAAACATAGCAATTAAATCAATTTCTTTTAAAAAACCAATAATTAAATGAACATTTGTAAAGAGATCCTTCAGTTTTTACATAGAAATATTTATCCCTTATGATGGAAAATTCAACACAGTCAAGCAGGATATGCTTGACTGTGGTTCTCATCACAAGGGATACAAAGAGGAGGGTCCTTACCTTTCAATGGGTACATGTCAATATATATAAATATATGTAAGTTTTAAAATCTATTTTTAACATGTTGGTTAGTGCGTAGAAAATACTGGAAAGAATAATTTGGTAATATTTGAGATA